CTTAAACACGATCCGCCTGTAGATAAAAGAGCCGGGGCCAACCTACCAATGGTCGCCAGCGGCTGCCCTGTGTGTTTGGCGTAGATGTTATTGATCTGTCTCTTCAGCTTCAGGATCTCCTCAGCCTGGATGGCGATGTCTGTGGCCTGACCCTGGAAACAGAACACTCTGATCATTATTTATTACAGCCTTGACTGAACTGTGCTGTGCTAACTTTCAGACTGTATCAGGCCAGTATTAAGAGGACCCGGGGAGACGACCTTACCCTGGCGCCCCCTGAAGGCTGGTGAACCATGATGCGGGCGTTGGGCAGTGAATGCCTCATCCCCGACGTTCCCGCTGCTAGGAGCAAGCTGCCCATACTGGCAGCCTGGCCAACACACCAGGTAGAGATGGGATTAAGGATGTACTGCATGGTGTCATAAATGGCCAGGCCCGATGTCACCACGCCGCCTGGGGGGAGAGGAAGGATTTTAAAAAATGGCATGAATTTAAGTGCTCAAGTGGGATTGATTAGCCATATTCTAAATTGAAATGGAAACTGGTAAATAGACCATTATATTGTTCTAGTCAGGATAATAGGGCCACAGTGAAATGCTAAGGAGAAAAGGGAAGTCGAAAAAGGAAATTGGATATTAAAATGACAAACCAATATTACAGAATGGCAATTTAAAAATGGGTAATATCACAAAATAAAATAAAATGAAAGTAGTAAAACAAGAAACTGGTTTTGCTATAAAAAGAACAGATGGTCAATGCAAAACAGGAAATATACAATAACCAGTCAGAAAAGCTCTTACCAGGACTGTTGATGTACATGTGGATGGGTTTGTTGTTGCTTTCTGACTGTAGGAAGAGCAGCTGGGCAATAACCAGACTGGCTACAGAGTCATCAATCTTAGCAGATAGGGGAGAAAGAGCGAGAATATTTTTTTAAAATCATTTTGAATACGTGTTTATGAAACAGAAGCTCACTCTCAATCAGTCTCAACATCCAGGGAGACACTTACAGGACCCATTACACAAATGATTCTCTCTCTCAGGAGGCGAGAGTAGATGTCATACGCTCTCTCTCCTCTCCCCTGGAAGAAAAACAAAAAGGCAGAATTGTTGGAATTGTTGTAACTTGAAATAATAAAATTTTATCTAGTGCTGTGATGAACCAAAAACGTGTTTACTGTTATGAAAGTTCAAAACGAGTTTGTTATTGTTCTCAAACAACTGCCACGTCCAACTTGTTTACTTACTTATACAGTTTGTAATGCTACTATAATAATACAGTATGCTGTTTTTGCAGTTGCTATACTGTTATACTGTCTGACCCTCTTACCAACATTCATACTTTTCTTTCTAGCTGTGAGAAGCTTTTCAATGTCTTTCATGCACCGTTATGGGGGACACTAGCGCCCATGAAAAGCATGAACAAACATCAAGCAGTTTTCTGACAGTACTGACAGTTTGAGCATATTTTTGTGTCAAGACAATATATAGTCAAATTCAGCTCAGCTGTTTCAGCATCTGAGTTTCTCTCTCCTCTCTTTTCGTTCTAACTCCACAGTCCTTCCTCTGTTCGTCCCAAGCTAACAACCTAATGTAAAGCTCATCCCTTCCTGTGTAAGCCCTGTTGGTATCTGAGGACACTATTGGAAGTAAGAAACCGGAGTGCGCTTTTTTTTAAAGTTGTGAATGAGCTCCTCCTGGGTGTACATTCCCCACAAGTGTTATTCAGGAAATGTATTACAGGCAAACCTGAACAAGGTCTACTTAGTGAGGACTCTCTGTGGGTGTTGGTCTGTATGGAGAAGACATGCAAACCGGTGCCACTCACTGTCTGCTCCACAACTATAGGTATGAGAGGACTCCTCCATACAGGACTGTGGTGGATGGACCTGCTGTGTTTCAGCGTCAAGCCTCCGATGTGCAACACCCTCTGGAACACACGGGCAGAAAACACACAGAAGAAAAATGCATTATTGTAACCGAAACAACAACAACATTTTTTTTAAACATGGGGGATTGATAAACACATAAAAAAAAAGAATGAAACTAACTTAAATATTACATTAAAAAAAGTTAAATAAATGCAACAAATGAGGGTTCTGTTAACATAAGCCTTGTTTTAATTAAATTAAAATATGCTATGTATATAACATTTGCAAAGCTTCTTCATTTGTTTATTGTGTTTCTTAAAGTCAGTAATCTTGTAATCTTGCTTTACAAAATTGTTTAAATTTGTACACATCTGGGCTAAAACTGTGTTTAATGCAAAACTGTTCATAACAGCTATTCTCTGCTATCTAAGTCAATGACTTTCCATGTAAAATATATTAGTAGTTCCCTATTGACCTACATTGTTAGGGTTGCAGTGCTGTACTGATACTATGGTGCCCCCACTGGCAGTGGGTGTACCATGGTATGACAATTGATGGTTATCATAGTGTGTACTTCACTTATTCATGGTATTCAGTTCTACTGTATTAGGTTTATTTAAAACAATAAGATATAATATTTTGTGAAATTATAATAATTTAAAAAACCCTTCTGTTTTCATTCCTTTCAGAGTCATTGTAACTGCTAATAATTGTGTAATACAGCTTACTGTTACACCATGAAACCATATTCTACCATGCCATTGTGTGTGTCTAACAACTTCTAAACTGAGTTAATTAAAATGAAACTCTCAGACATTGCGTCAGGTGCAACGTTAACCTGCCATCATACAATCCCACCACTAGATCCAACGTAACATCATGTAACGTTCATCCAAAATCCAACAGTGAGTGAACAGGGTTATTTCAGACTGGCTAGGGTTGTTGTCTTTAGGGGAAACCCAGTTCCTCTATGTTTGGAGCAGAAAGCCTGCAGTCAGTAACGTTGCTGTGTGGAGGTGATGCCATGAAGCAGCGTTACACAAGCTGTTAGCTAACACACTCAAACACGACCAACAGCGACAGGAAGCGACGCTTTTAGGTTTGAACCCCGATCTACTGTGTGAGGCACGCTGACAGGAAGGTCTCCGAAAACTTATTGTACTCACTCGTAACAGCATTTTGAAGAGTTTTAGGTTCAACTCCCCCTCTGTGTGACCCCCCGAGATACACCGGAAGCAGTTCCACGTTTACCTTTGAACCGCTTTCTTCTTCCTCGAGGTTTGACAGGCGCTTGGTGTTTCATTGAGTTCACTAGCTCCCTCTAGAGGACGGTCCCAAATACTCCATCATTATTCTATTATATACAATTACCCTTAATATAAATAATGGACAGTCTAGATAAGATATATACAGGATTATACAGGCTGTAATACTACTGTCTTCTTTTTATAATTCATTTTTCTGCCAGGACTCTAAGGAAAAGGAAAACTAAGGAGTTTTATAATAAAATGAGCTGGTGAAAAATAAATGAAAAAGTACTGTAAATAAAGTTTAAATGTATTTTATTAACAGAAAAATTATGACGATTTATTTTTCTTTTTATGCTACATATTTGAATGATTTAACTTAATTATTTATTGATATATATATATATATATATATTATATTTAGTTTGATAACCTTGTGCTTGTCAGTTCCAGGGCTCCATAAATCCCCTCCTTTACTATTATTGCGCTTTAGTATAAGCCAAAGACCCCAAAAGATGTTTATGTTGTTAACTATGGAGGACTAAAAGTGCCAAAATTAAATAAATAAATACATCATTAAATAATTACTTAAATGTGTCATTAATTAATTAAAATACCAATTCATTTTATGTAAAAAAAAAAACATATATAATTATTTCACTATTTAATTAAATATTTCATGGTCCTCCATAGTTAACAGCACAATTTAAGAATTTAACAAATGGTGATCTCAGTGTAGTTATATTTCTGTTTAGAAAGGGCTTCTAAATAATTAAAAACGAACACAAAAAAAACAGCACAGACAGAACACCAAAAGTTATTTAGTCTAGATTCAAAAGCATGCTTGTATAAATCAGAGACGTATTATTATATCTCCCCTAAACCCCTGCTGCTGCTTTTCATCAACAGTTGGGAGTGGGTGAGATTTAAAAGAAGAAAGGAGCACTGTTTCAGACCAATGTATTTTTAATGATATATGATTTATGCTACTGTAGACTAAACATATTTTCTTTTTGTTTCAACTGAGCAGTGTTTCTTGAACTCATGTGGTAACTGAAAATTTGGTTCAGGACTTTAGAGGACAAACTGGTTGTGAACAGAAAAGAAAATGTTTATTTTTAAAGTTGTATAGTTCTTTTTGGGCCAACTTATTTCATACAGTTGTAAAATACAATTCTGCAGACTTAAGGAAGCACATCAAGAACTTAATATCTACACAATAACCATCAATGACAATTATATTGGTCCATTGGTCATTAGTTATGCACATTAATCCAAATATTATTTTATACATAATATTTTTTATCATAGTCTTGTTTCATCTCTGAAGTACCTCTTCAATTCTTTTTTTATTATTATTTATGTATGGCTCTTAATGAAGGCCACTAAACTAAATAAACATTTTATTTTTATTTTTACTGAGTGTCGTCAGTGTCAGTGCTTAAGTGACATTTCTGATACATACTTTTACTTGTACTAGGCCCCAGGGCTCACTATTATGATGTGTCCTATCAGTCATCATTGCATATCTGTATAGTATGACAATAATAAGAAAAATAAGAAAATGTAATATGATTGAATAGTTTTTTATACATTGTATAAGTTAAATGTAAAATATACATATATTGTTGTTATATTCCCACTGACTATTTTGCAAAAAAGAATGAAACATCATGAACATGGGTTTGCCTTTTCCAGGGCATATACAGCAAATGGCACCAACTTTAGGTTAGTGAGCAGTCTACCTTGAACACAGGTGTATATCAAAAGGGGCAATGAGGGTCCACTGTCTCCAAGCCCCTCCCACCCACCCCACGGGTCCCAGAGCGTCCACACTGTCTATGCCTACGCCCCTGGCGTGTCTGTGTGCGTGTTTTCATTCTGTGGGTGGAGGGAGTGAAAAAAAAAGTGAGTGAATGGGCTTTTTATTTTGAAGGACCTCGCCGGAAGATGTGTCTTATTGCAGCCTTGTAGTGAAACGTTAATGTAACGGACTACTTGGTCACTTGCTCTGTTACTTGGACTCAGTCATGTCAAACAACAGCGCCGCCAACAGCAGTCTAGCCCTCGCCCAGAAGGCAGTGAAACAGCTTCGTCTGGAGGCCAGTGTCCGTCGGATAAAGGTCTGTAAACACAACTTAACGACTTCCATTAAACTTTACAACAAACCTCTCCGGTGCGCGTGACTCCCGCTCTGAGGCGCATCAGGAGCTTTAATGTGCCGCGTGCTGCGACTCATTATTGTATCTGTCCATCACTGACAGCTAAGTGTTCGCGGTATAGCTCCGTTTGTAACTTACTCAGTTGTTACTCTGTAACAACAACAAGTAGCAGACCGTCAGTGTTTTCTCCTGAAGAATGTGGTGTGACACTTACTAAAAAGTGCTCTGAAATTAATTACATATTTATACATTATATAACTAGAAACTTACTTATAGATACATATATAATATATCCTTAAACGTATTGACTGTGGTTGTATAATAGCTCTATGGCTCGGTTAACCAGCTCTAAAGTTGAGGAAAATTGTCCATTTAAAAGTTTTTTTTTTGTGTGTGTGTGTGTGTGGTTACTACAAACTAGCTTAAATGTTGGCTGACTGTCTCTTATTTAATCTCCATTCAACTCCGGCCATTCTCCTCATACTTTAGGTATAGGCTACATTTAAGGAATACTTTTATTGGTTCATGTTCTAATTCACTGGAAAGCCATGTGAGTGTGATTTCCTGCTGTGCAGTGTCCTACAGTGGAACGGTAGCGAACAGACTTTTCTCTGCTAGTGCAGCACAGTGATAGCTTTGTTGATTGTGCTGCTGTGTGACTGGTGTGATTGTTGGGTGGCTACTTATTTTAGAACACAAGTCAGACTAGTTTCAAGTGTGTGTCTGTGTTAACCACCCCAGCAGTGGGCTGCCGGCCGGGGGAGCACCCAGAATAAATAAATCACAGAAGAAATTCACCCAGCCTGTGAATTCTTGCAATTACATACAGTCCAAACAGTAGTGTCTTCGGGCACCAAACTCAGGACTTGTGATGTTGTCAAGATCAGGGGTCTCCAGTGTTTTTCAGGCCAAGGACCCCTTAGTGGAAAGAGAGACTGAGCAGGGACCCCCTACTATTGTATAAAATGATGTGACATACTAAACTGTAACATGTAGGGTGGCCTATTAGTGCCATGTATAAACATACCTTCTTATTGTGAAAACAGTAATAAGCTATTAAAATAATTACTGCCTGATACAAATATTTATGTAATTTTAAATATTCACGTGGAGTTTTCTTTGCTGATAACATGTATTAATGTGTATTTTTTTAAATAACATGGCAGCCCTATGGTAGAATCATATACAATGAAGGTTCAGTTGATCACTATACTGTGAGGCAAGAGGATGTTTACAGCCCCTACCTGTGACATTTATGTCATACAGTATAAACTCTCTTTCACTGATAGCTGATAATATTGACACAACCTTATAGGGACTATGTAACCTTTGAAAGAAGAGATAACAACATCCTTACAAATGAAAAGTTGAATTCATACACAATAAAACACGCCCTCGCTCCGGTCAGTCCGCTCAGAGGTTTTTGCTGCCGCAGCTTTCCTCATTCTGGGATGACCAAACAATCAGACGTACAAAATAATCAACTGGGTAGTTAGCTGACAGCTATAAAAACTAAAACCTCACCCAGCATTATCTGAACATACTGTGTGACAGATTGTGGAACGTGCAGTTCATACATATGACACCAAATGAGGGCTTTGAAACAGTGAGGTCCCACAGAGAGTCACAGACAGCAGTGCTGTAGTTTAGGAGCCACCAGATTTCACACTTTCTGGTGCGAAATTGTGAAATTGGACTCACCAACAATGATTTGAAGTAATACTCCAGGGATATAGTAAAGCACTTGGACTTCCAGAGACAGATTAAAAGAAGAATGGTCAAACTCACAGCAGCAGAGGCTGAAATAGCCAGATGTTCAGTCCATAGTAGTGATCAAGCTCCAGAAACATTGCCACCTACACTTCCCATAATGCAACCTGATATTGTCCGGAGGTGGAGGTTATGCTGCAGTCAGATGCTCCCTAGATGGTCTCATTCCCTAAATTTGGGAAGCCATTCTTCTGACTTTAGTGTGTTTGTGAGCTTTAAAACATAATGTAATAATAATATGGTTGCTGCACCAGTACATCCCATAAAACCACTCAAATATTGCTTTTTATTGACCCTGCATGGAGAGCAAGTAACAGTTACAACCTAATATCATATTAAAAATGACATATGAGCAGAAATATTAAGTGAATTCACAAAAATGTTTTTTTATCATCAACCTAACCTTTACTTTTGTACGTCTGCTATGTTTCTGCATAATAAGACGTATCAAAAAGGTGTTCTGACTTGAGCGGCCGTCCTCGTGAATTTTCCCTGTCTGGAACTTATTTTTCCGATCATTCCTGGGTGTCAGCATAAGTTAAATTGTGCCATCAGTTTGAAAAATGTGATTTTAGGATTCTCTGTAGCAGTTGTCAGTTGACAGGTTTTTTTAACGGCCGATGGCGATATTTAGAGAGCGGGGCTGCCGATGGCCGATGTATCACGCAGATATCAAAACAAAGAAAAGTCACGTGTAATTCTTTTCTACAGGAATGTGGTTACAGCCAGATGCATGAGAGTTCAAAGTACAGGGCTTGAAAGCAACTTTTTCACCACCTTCTGATGACGGTGATGGGGGGGAGGTGAACTACCCAGGCGCCCCAGTGCCTATTTCTGAATGCAAATGTATGTCAAGCTACATGGAAATGATAACACACACTGTCCCTCCTTAACCAAATGATTTGATATATGGAATATTATACAGGTATCTCAGGCTGCTGCAGAACTGAAGACTTTCTGTTTGCAAAATGCCCACAAAGACCCTCTCCTCACCGGGGTGCCCTCCAGTGATAACCCATTCAGGCCTCCAAAGTCATGTGTCCTCCTCTGAGGTGTGAGTGCAGCCCTCTTCTCTTTGCCTGAACTGATCTTTTATATGTTGTTTAGTTATTCTCTTTTCCGCCCCTGTGATCCTTTCTCTATCGCACCTTTTCCGACTGCTGAACAATGACCCCGCTATCTTTTAGAGCACAAGACGCATCCCTTCAAGCTGAAGTTGTTTCTTGTCTTTTTAGGGCTGTGAAGGAGTGCAGAACACTCAGCAGCAGACGCCTGATCATTCCGATGTGGATTTCTGTCATGTGCCCCACTGCCTCTGAAGATAAAGAAGCCAAGAACACACACACACACACACACACACACACACACACACACACACACACACACACAGATGGATTGTCACTGGAGCAGCTAAAGAATGATGCTGACTATTTCAGCTGAAAGTGTACTAAAAGTTGCGCCTATTGATACAGGATGTGTGATTCTGTGTGTTGTTCAGGGGTCAGAGCTCTGTGCTATGGTAGCCTTACACAAGAGTTTTTGGTTTTTATGACCATATTCCTTATTTTGACCACTTGCTAATACCTGCTTTTACAGTAGAACTGCACTTTTTACAGTGGTTGTTACTGGATGACAAAAATCCTGGAGTTGATTACTAAAAGAATCCTGTGAAAGTCACATCGGCAGACACCAGAGTCTTATCTGATGGTTTCTATTTATGAACATCACCCAAAGCAGATTTTTGAAAAATGGATTCCATGTGTTTTTTTTCTTTTGTACATGTTTATAATACAGATCCAATGTTTGCCATGTGTGAGAAAAAACACAAAATAAAAACAAAATTTGGTCTTTCACTCCACCAGACACTGCTTTGGGATTTCTGTACCTGAGCAAGATACAGAAATATTGTTCCCTGTCATTTATTTTGGAGAAACATTTAACCTTTAAATATCTGTAACCATTCATTTTGTACTCGCTCGACAAATGTCATTCTGGTAGAGAAAGGAGGAAGTATGGAAACCTGATTGTGTCCAGTTCATACAGTTAAAAAATCTCTCATGTGCAGTGTTATTATTCACCATTAAAAAGTGACCATGTGTTTGAGTGTTTGAAGCTGGCATGAATTTTGCATCCTAGTTTTTAACAAATACCAACACATTAGATTTCACTGATGAAAAACTATTTCACTGCAAATGGCAGAGGGACTGGGTAAAAAAATAATGTGGTCCTTTACGGTAAAATAAGATTACATAAATCACAGTAGGAATCTTTTTCAAGATGTCATTATATAATGGTGCACAAACATAACATCATACTTGAAGCTTTGTATGTATGTTTGAAACAAAAAGCTGCACTAACAAATGGCAAGTTGATCTTCAGGATCTGTTGAGGGGAAGAGATCACACGTAGCTTACACAAAGCACATTGTTGTTTTAGATGCTACCGTATCTATTTTTAACACATTCAGTTATTTCCACAAATTTGTTTTGGTTATCTTTTGTTCATTCTTTTTCTTTTAAAGGCACACTTTGCAAGATTTTTACCTTAATATAACAGCTTCGAAGTCATTTCGATGGTAAACGAACTCGTAGTATAGCGAATCATCCCGATAACAAAGCTGGGGAGGGACACCGTTGGCAGAACCAGCAATGCAAGTCTGAAAGGTGGTGTCCCGCCAAATCTTGCAAGAATCGCAAATTGCTTTACGGTGCAACGTCACATACATCAGCGACATAAGAAGCAGCCTTAATGGAAGACACTAGCAGGCATTCACTCAGATGTTACCTGGTCAGTAGACATCTTCGGAGTCTATCTTTGCCTGTTCGATGTCCGACGCTTCCATCCTACTGAACATGTACCGGTATACAGGGGGGAGGGGATCAGGCCGTGAGTGCAGAGACACAGAGCCGAATATAGAGACGGCTCTGATGAGTGGTATTTACGACAGTTAACGTTAAATACAAGGACTCCGCTGCAACTCTAGGGGGAGCTGTTTGACAAAACTGGAAAACTGCATAGTATGCCTTTAATATTGGGCCGTGATTGTACAGTATAAACATACAAATGGTGTTTTATGAATGTTGCATTGGTTCAAGCCTAAGGAATTAAATTAGTGTCATTCAATTCAATTCAATTTTATTTGTATAGCGCCAATTCATAACAAAAGTTATCTCAGGACACTTTTCAAATAGAGCAGGTCTAGACTATACTCTTTATAAAATGTTATATATACTGTTACATTGTTTTTATTACTCTACGTTTTCACATTTCTGAGATTTCCTCTATTCCAGTTTATTGGAGATGAATGGAATTTCGCATTTTTGTTTTATTCAACAAAACAATGTACACATTGGGTCAGGGCTAAATAACAACAGAAAGCTGATAACAAAAAAATATAGAAAATTAAAGCGGTAGTGGGTAACTTATAAAAATAACTTTCTGTCATATTTGCTGAAATTTTTAATGTGTCCTGGCAGTAGTGCGTGAGACAGATAATCAGTGAAAGAAATCAGGTACAAGGAGAAGCCAGAAGAACCAGATTTTTTCACAGGTTATCTGTTTCATGTACTTATGTCAGGATATTGTGAAAGTTTCGGGAAATATAAGAAAAAAGTATTTTTTTAAAAATGACCTACTTTATAAATGAATGGATGAAAGCAAGATACACATTCTAAGTAAGTTGAAAATCAAATAAATACAACAATAAAACAAAACATTAAATACCTTAAAATAGAAAAGGATAAGGACAGATATTAGAGTAAAACACAATCCGACATCAGGGGATTTGATTAAATATGTTTATGTCCAAAGAACCTGTTACTTTTCTGCTTATCAGGGCAAGAGAGTTTAGTGAGTTAAATTCAGAAAAACAGGGAAAGAAGGTTTGGTTTCATTTATTTATAAGTATCTGGCCATTTGTACATATTCTCTCACTCTTTATATATTTGTATATAGTGGCTCATTCTTATTGTCTCTATTTGTTTTTTCTTTATGTATAGCCTATCTTTTTTCACTTGATTCTAAACAACATTTCTGTTAAAAAAAATAAATACTAAATAAAAAGTGAACCCACTGGTAGTTTACAGATTTGTAACTCATATTATCATAATACAATTATTCATCATATTTTCATATACCTCCGCTGGAACTGAATTCGTGGGAGAGCTCCTGGATTATATGATAATCGGGTACAGCCAGGTGGCGCTGTTGGAGCGGCTTATCACGTTGATGCCCAGGCTGCCTCCAGCAGAGAGCAGTGCGCGGTTGGATGTGAGCGCCACCGACCTGTCTCTACTTCCAGATCGAAGATGGCGGTCTCGGTGTTCCCCGGCGTGCGGCTCCTCTCCATCGGAGATGCGAATGGAGACATACAGCGACACTCAGAGCAGCAGCCCCTGCGGTTAGAAGTCAAAAGCACACAAGATGCTGCCCTCATCAATCTCTCCAATGGTGAGTTGACCCCTTTTCTGGAGCTGCTCCTCGGATGTTCCGGCCTGCCTTTACTGCCAGTGCTAATGCTATGCAGTGCTAATGCCTATACGGCTAATCTGGCCATATGTAGCGTTAGCCGCCAAGAAGCTAACCCGTCTTGAGAGACCACGTCGCCTCCCCCTGCTTCTCACGAGGGAGCCCTAAAAAGTCCACATTTTTCGTCGTCCGAGGAGGTGTTAAGGCTTATTAACACCGGGCTTTCAGCTTCCTCACAAGTTCGCCGCGTTGGGGACCTCGACAAAAACATAACCCAACACGGACAACGTAGCTTAGTTAGTCACATCAGTACGCGGGGCAGCTAAGTAGTGTGTAGTTTAATGCTAGTTAAACAATGCCACTAGCCCGGTTCCCGCACTGATGCGCTAACGTGCACCACGCTCGCTCGCGTTTAACGCCTATTCGCCCTTCATGTTTCACTAACATGTATTTTGTCACATTAATATGCCCGGTGGTTCATGAAATTAACATTTTCCGGTTTGTCCCAAGAGACGCAGGTAATGTTTATTTGGCTGTTTAGCTCGTGGATTAGCTTGTCTGGATTGTTTGGGAGTCGAGAGCAGAGGGCATCGGTTCTGACCCGCCGCCGCCGCCGGGCACCGCGGTCCAGGCGGCTGCCGCTGCTGCAGCCCCGCTCCGTGATACAGCGGCAAACACTTCAACTTTTCAAGCTTTTACTTTTTTTAAGGGGTGAAAGCGGTCTCGGTGTTTTTTCTTTTTTAGCGAAACCGGGCCCTCATTACTTATGCATTCATCTTTGTTCTCATTGGAACAATAGCCGGGTCCCCGCCGCCCACTTCCCTCCTGTGTGGAGGCAGCATCAGAGCCGCTCCGCTGGCCCCGCTGGCTCCCCTGCAGCTGTTCTTATTCAATGGGATGTCCCGCTGAAAAGGAGCAGCGCGCAGGCCTCCTTTTGCCTCTGATGCCCAAGTTAAAGAAAAGCACCCAGAAATTCATTGTAGGCCTTTTGTGCAGCCCTTACAACAACACATCTCTGGCAGCGCACATCAAGAAAGTTTAATTTATCCCTGTGGGAGTTTAGGCCCTGAAAAAATAAAAGTAGTATAAATAATGTAGTTGATAAGCAAAATAAATAAAGTAGCCACCAACAGTTGAATACCTTACAAAGAGTGTGTGTTAAGGATTTGCAAATGAACAACACACAGATAGTATGAATCTGTAATAGTAACATGGAGTATAAAAAATTAAAAAGTATAGCACACATCGTGGTTCCAGAGGGAGCGGGGCGAAGCAGGGCTCAACATTTAGGTCTGTCTGCTTGCACAGGGCAAGTCAAGTGTTTCTTCGGGCTAGTAAATTTATCAGCTTACTTTCCCAATCTAACAAATTGTAAAAAAATAAATAAATAATGAATACTAATTTATTTTTTCTGGAGCTGATGATGGAAGTAGTTTGCTTCTTCATCATCTCTGTTCAGAGTTGCACCTGTGCAGTATCAATCGAGCATTTGCGAAATGGTGGCGGGTAAAGACAAAGTTTATGAGCTGATGCGCAAACAAGCATTTCAATTATCCTGGAAACAGGAGTTTTGTAGGTTGGTGTTAGTGGATGTGGGCCAAACTGTTGTATAGTTTAATTCAGCTATCATGGAAAGTGCTATGAGCTCTGCAAAAAACAAAACCACATTTATTCTCCCTACCAACAAACGCTTCCCTCTGTACAGTGAAGGATGTTAACTATATGGATAAACTCTGACTCTTCTCATGTAACATTGAATCCCTGAGTAAGACTTCATTATTTATGGTGTTGCTGTCATTTTATAGTGGGAGAGAGCCTATTTAGTGCTGCCCTGCATGCACCAAGACTCACAGTGGGCTCTAATCCAGTTGCTTTAAGGATGGGTCACGGATGCAGAGATCCATTTTTTTATTTTACATTTTTAAACACTTTCAAACTTACGCCACAGCGAAGTTCAAGACGTGACAGCTCATAGTTGCCAGTCGTCATAGTAACATAAGATGCTTGCCAACAACAGCATAGCCTTTTTCCAGAGGCCTGTATTATTTCACTTAATATTGATGTTAGTTCATATGAGTCATATTTTGCATCAATGTTCTTGGTTGTGTCTTATTTGTTTTAGTACAGAAATATAACATCTGGTGAAGACGATTTGTAGGCCGGAGCGTCTCCGCAGAACCAAAGTACTTTTATTATTATGCTGTTCTGTCACACATTTTACACACCTACAGCTGTTAATTCAGGCCAGTGTTAAGCTGCCAGCAGCAGGGTAGCACGTAGTCGCTCTCATTGCGTGCTGTCCAATCACGCACACATGTATTGATGATGGTGGGCAGCAGAACCAATCACAGCATCTGTCTGTCTGCGTGACGGTCACAGTCTGGCTAAGATGGCAACAAAAGCAGTAACGAGGAAAGGACCCAGTAAAAAAAGTGTGAAGTTGATCCCGTTCAAACATGGCAGCTACGAAAACTCATTCAGTCAAGGTTCAGAATCTTGTCAGGACAGAAGGCTGCGTTCTCTCACTGAATTGCAGAAGTAAGAGGAAGAGGAGGAAGAGAGAAAGTTCACCGGCTGTGTGTGAAAGCTGTAGAACTTGGGCTTTTATCATTTTTATTTTTTTTTTTCCAT